CCTTCTGCAAGAACAGTCAGTGTTCTTAACCGCTGAGCCACCTTTCCAGCCCCTGATTTTTTTTAAAGCTTCAATTTTATCTTTGACAATAAATATCAAATGCATGGAGGTCTTTCTGGGAAAAATGTCACCTTCCTGCCTAAGGACTTGGAACACTGATGGTACTTTCCAGCACTTATCCTCCTGTTGTATACCAGTCTGAGCAGTTTATGTATGTTAGCTTGTTACTTATTTTTACTTCAGTCCTGGGAAGCATTATTGCCCCCATTCTATAGATGGGAAAACTGAGGCTCAGAGAGATTAGAAACTCCAAGATCACACCATTGTGGTACTCCTGTCTGTGATCAGAGTTCCAGAAAAGGTTTCTCTAGGTAGGACAGGCCTGGAAAAAATGTTCTGTCTCCTTGGGCTGAGAATTAACTCTAACTGACAGGGCACGTTCGTAGATGGAAACATGGGTCCCCAGTGCCCTCTGGTGAGTACCTGCTCAGGGGAACCCAGCGCAAACTGACTTCCTCCAGAAAGTCTTGGGTTCTCTCAGGGCTGTGGGGGGCTAGGGATGAACAGAACGAGGTGCCACATTTCCACATGCTCCAGGTGAGACTCTGCTTCTCTGCTCCTGCCCTAACTGGCTCCCAGCAGTCAGCTGCTGCCTCCACTCCGGACTTTTCATTTCCTCCTCTTCCAGCCTCCCCTTTCTTCTCTCTCCCCTCCCCTCACTCTGAGACTGGGTCTCATGTAGCCCAGGCTGGCCTCTAACTCAATATGTAGCTGAGGATGACCTTGAACTTCTGGTCCTCCTGCCTCCACCTCCAGTGGCGGGATGACAGGTGTGTGTCACCAGGCTTGAGTCATGCAGTCCCGCCGATGAAATCCAGGATGACACAGAACTTGGCTACCATCCCATCTTCCCTCTTCCCTGTTCTCTGTGCCTCCCTCCGTTTCCACATCCTTATCTTCTGCCTCTTGTCTCCTCCCACTTTCCCTTATAAGAACACTTGTGACACCATGGGACCCACCAGGATGACCCATGCCACATCTCTCTTCCCTCTTCCCTGTTCTCTATGCCTCCCTCCGTTTCCACATCCTTATCTTCTGCCTCTTGTCTCCTCCCACTTTCCCTTATAAGAACACTTGTGACACCATGGGACCCACCAGGATGACCCATGCCACATCTCCATCTAGAGGTCCTTACTGTAATCCAATCTGTAAAGTTCTGCTAAGTCACAGATCCACCCATGCAGGGACTAGGACATGCCAACTTTGAGTCTTTGGATGGGGTGAACCACCTTGCCCCGTCCACTACATCTGATAGGAAAGAGTCCCAGGAAGGTCAGGAAATCTGGCCAAGTTCACACAGCCATGAGGCAGGGTTTTAAATTCCAGGTGCTTCTCCTGCCCCCAAATTCGGCTCGGAGCCACTAAGCACTGTGGGTCTAGGGTGGGCTCCTAGTGAGATACCAGAGAAAGAGACTTGAGGGGCTCTGGGAAGGGAATGAGGCCGGACCCCCTGGGATCTGTTGTGACCTGTCTCTTCTCTCTGCCTAATAAACCTGCCACCTTTGCCCTGCTGCCTCATATTGAAATTCTTTTAGCCTTTTGGAGTCTTTACCTGAGTGGGATCTCCAAGAGGAAACTCCTCAGGTCTCTGTGACAGGGCTGGGCACAGTCTCTTAAAGTTTGCCTACTTTTTTTTCAAAGATTTTTGTTTTTTTCGGTCTTTTTGAGACAGGGTCTCCCTGCAGCCCTAGCTGTCCTGGAACTCACTATGTAGACCAGACTGGCCTTGAACTCACAGAGATCCACCTGCCTCTGCCTCCCAAGTGCTGGGATTAAAGGTGTGCGCCACCAAGCCCGTCTAAAGATTTTTTTTTTAATTTATGTGTATGTGTGTATGATTGCATGAGCTTATGTGCACCATGTGCATGCCAGTGCCATCAGAGGCCAGAAGGTGATGGAGCTCCTGCCCACTTAACATGGGTTCTGGGAATCGAAATCAGGTTTTCTGCAAGAGCAGAATCCTTAACCACTCAGCCATCTCTGTAGCCCCTATTTATTTTTTTGAGACAGGGTCTCACTATGTAGCCCTGGCTAACCTAGAACTTGCTTTGTAGGCAAGGCTGGCCTGGAACTTAAAGAGATCTGCCTGTCTCTGCCTCTGCCTCCCAGTGCTGGGATTAAAGTCATGGACCACCACATCTGGAGATTTATTTTATTTTTAATTACACGTCTGTGTGGGGGTATGTGCATGGGAATGCAATTGCCCACAGAAAGAGGTCGGATCCGCAGCTGGAGTTAGCAAAGGCAAATCTGAGCCCCCTGACGTGGGAGCTGGTAGCAAAACTTGGGTCCTCTGCAGCAGCAACAAGTTTGTTTTTGAGACAGGGTCTCACTGTGTAGCACTGGCTGGCCTTGAACTCACAGAGACCCACCTGCCTCTGCCTCCAAAGTGCTGGGCACCATGCCCGGATGAAGCAAGTGTGCTTAACCACCGAGCTCTCTCTCCAGCCCCTATTTCTTTGTTTTGAAGTCTTGTGTTAACATCTCTGGAAACTAAGTTTGGGTCTCATGTGTTGTATCATTTTTGTTGTTGTTGTTCAGGCAAAGTTGATACAAAGCAGACACTTGTGGGAATCATCAAGGTTTTCATGTGTCTCCAAGTCTCTAGGTGGAGCTCTAACTTTCCGTCCTGGTCATCAGGCATAGACACAAGGATACAGTGCAGTGACAATACCACAGCCATAGAAACAATGTGGCTTTTCTATCTTTGTTGTAAAATGTTTCAAACAGAGGGAAAAGTTGAAATAGAGTACCTCTTAGATCTGCAACAGTTAACATTTTGCTACATTTGTACCCTGTGGTTTTGTGTGAATAGATATTTTCTTTTTGTGTCATTGTTATAAAATTGGCTGATGTTACCACTGTCACCCTGAAATTCTTCAGAATGTATCTTCTAGCGACAGAGGTGCTGCCAAAGAGCCCATTCTCTGGCTGATGTTACCACTGTCACCCTGAAATTCTTCAGAATGTATCTTCTAGCAACAGAGGTGCTGCCAAAGAGCCCATGGCTGATGTTACCACTGTCACCCTGAAATTCTTCAGAATGTATCTTCTAGCAACAGAGGTGCTGCCAAAGAGCCCATTCTCTTCTCTCTCTCTCTCTCTCTTCTCTCTCTTCTCTCTCTCTCTCTCTCTCTCTCTCTCTCTCTCTTGCCCCAGCTGGCCTGGAACTTGCTATGTAGACCAGGATGGCCTTGAACTCATAGAGATCCACCCTGACTCTGCCTCCCGAGTGCTGGGATTAAAGGTGTGCACCACCATGCTCGACCTTCTCTTTCTTTGAAAAAAAATTGATCAGGGGATGGTGGCATATGCCTTTAATCCCAGCACTCGGGAGGCAGAAGCAGGTGGATCTCTGTGAGTTCAAGGCCAGCCTGGTCTACATAGCAAATTCCAGGCCAGCTGGGGGCTACAGGGAGACCCTGTCTCAAAAAATTAAAAAATGTTATGAGTGTTTTGCCTACATGTATGTATGTGTAGCATGTACTAGCAATGCCCGGGGAGGCCAGAAGAGGGCATTGGATACCCTCCCCCCCATCTGGAGTTACAGATTGTTGTTAGCCACTATATGGGTGCTGGGAACTAAACTTTGGTTTTCTGCAGAAGCAGCCAGCCCTCTTAAACGAAGTCATTTTTTCGTTTCTTTAATTGCATACATGTAAATTAAAAATAAATAAAAATGTAAAACTCTCCTTCCACCATGTGGGTCAGGCTTGTCAGCAAGTGCCTTTCTACTCAGAGTCATCTCGTTGGCCCTATTTATTTTGGGGGGACAGAGTTTTCTCCCCTCCCTCCCTCCCTCCCTCCATTTCTTGAGACAGGGTCTCATGTAGCTTGGCCTCAAGTTTGCTTTGTTGCCAGGGATAACACTGGCTTTTATCTTCATCCCACTTTTGGGATTAAAGCCTGTGCCAACAAACCCAGTTTGTTTGTTTGTATATGGAGCCCAAGGCCTCATGCCAGGCAAGTACTTTGCCAAGGGAACAACATTCACAGGCCAACAGGATCTTACCTTTGGCTTAGGCTGGCCTGGGCTTATGTCTAGCTCAGGCTAGCCCTGATGCTCCTCCTTCTGCTTCTTGAGTGCTGGGTTTGCAGGCAAATGCCACTACGTCCACAAATATAATGTGTTATAACGTGTTTAGTGCTGGGGATGGAATCCAAGGGCCTAATGCATTTGAGGACAGCACTCTTACTGAACTATACCTCCAGCTCAGCCCACTGAGAGTTCTGTGAGGATTAATTACGTGTGCTTGCACACTAGCAAAGCAGCTCTCTGTAAACACTAGCTACTGTGACAAGTTTTTATACTTTTCATGGTTGATTTTACTAGTCTAACAAATCTGTACAGAGAGACTGTTACTGTCAGGCCCTAGGTTAAGCAAGGCAGATTCACAGTGAGACCGATTCCCAGTCCATAAAAACAGCAGGCCTGGCTCTTCACAAAGGAGACGCCATAGTCGAGGCCCCAACCATCCTGGGTGTGCCTGATCCTGGAAGCTAAGCAGGGTTGGGCCTGGTTCCTATTTGGATGGGAGAAACGACATACCAAAAAACACATTAGGTCCAGGAGAGGATTGCTCTAAAAGAAAAAGGTCTGTGGAACTGGAGAGATGGCTCAGCAGTTAAGAACACATGCTGTTCTCTCAGAGGACCTGGGTTCAAATCCCAGCACCCAGATAGATGGTGGCTAACAACCATCCATAACTCCAGTTCCAGGGGATCTGGTGCCTTCTTCTTCTGCTCTCTGAGGGTACTGTATGACGCCAGTGCACTTCCATGCAGGCAAAACATACACATCAAGTAAGAATAAAAAAATATTTTAAAGAAATTCTTAAAAAAAAAAAGATTAACCCTGAGCCAGCTCTCCGGGCCCAACCTGCGTTTGCATGCTTTACATTAAAAATCATTTTCCAATGCCAGGCAAAACTGGTGGAGGAATGAAGGGTGTAAATGAACGCAAGGCCAGAAGAGCCAGCTCCATAACGCTGGGGAGACCCGGGAGGCGGCGGCTGAACGGCTCGGAAGCGCGGAATCCCGCCTCGGGTCCCCGGGAGGTGCGGAGCCGGCAGCGGCGTGGGCTTCAGCCCCGCACGGCATGGCTGTCTGCAGCCCCGCAGATCCGTCCCTCGGGCTCCAGGGCCAACCCGCGGCCAGGCGGCGGCATCCGCAGACGAGCGCAGCCCCCGGGAGGGTCCGTGGCCCAGACGCACGCCCACCTGTCGCGCGCAGGCGCAGAACACCGCCTCCCCGCCCGCGGCGCGACCAGTGCGCAGGCGCGGCGGCCGATGCGAGTGTGTCTGTGCGGCGAGAAGATGGCGGCGGCGGGGGACGCGGCGTGAGGAGCCGGAGAAGCGCCGAGCCTCCTGGAAACGGGCCGCCATGGCCCTCCACAACCCGCAGGTACGGCCGAACGCGTCTCTGGCTGGAGGTCCCGGCTTCGAGCGGCCTCGGGGCGGCGGGCGAGCGGTGCGCGGCGGGCGGGCGGTGGGGGAGGCGCCGACACGCTGCCGGCCTAGGCCCGCGCCGGCCGAGGCCTCCCGAACCTCCCCGAGGCCGCCCGAGAGCTCCCCGAGAGTGCCTGAGCTGCCCCGAGGCCGCCCGAGAGCGCCCGAGGCCGCAGGCGAGGCCTCCGCGTGTCCCGCCGGCCGCCGCCGACCCCGGGCGACGCTCCTTCCGAGCGGCCTGCGTTGCGGGGACCCCGAGGCCGCCGAGGGAGCCGGGCTACCGCGCCCTCTGTCCCCGGGGTGCTGTGCTCCGAAAACTCGAAGCCGGTGCGTCGGCCGCACGCGGTCTTGTCCCGAGTGACACCTTTCGCCCAGATCCGCCCGGGCGGCGGGGAGGCCGCGCAGGCCCGAGGCCGGGGTGCAGAACCCGCTCCGCAGCACCCCCAGATGAGAGGCGCCGCGCAGAGTGGGAGTGCTTGTCGGGCTGGCTTCAGTCCCGGGGCTTGTTGACACCGCATCCTGACATTGTTGCCGGTCTCCGTGTGCTTTTCTGTAGATCCGAGAAGTCGAATAACGCTTTGGGGAATTTCCCCCCCCCCCCACTCCCCGGGCTTGGTTGTATCCAGGCAGAAGTCGATACGATTAGACCGCTTATCTACTTTTCAAAATTGCATTTATTATGTGCGTGTACGCATGTATGCATGTGCGTGCACATGTGTCACAGCACGTGTGTAGGTCAGGGTACAACTTGTAGGAGTCAGCTCTCTTTCCACCATGGTTCTGGGAATGGAGCTCTGGCCGTTAGCCTTTCCCTGCTGAGCCATCTCACCAGCCCCAGATCACGTGATGTTTCAGAAAAATTTTGTTTTTATTTATTTAAAAATATTTCACTTATTTAACAAAATTTTTATGTGCATGACTCTATTGACTGCATGTATGTAAGTGCATCCATGATGTGCAGTGCGGGAAGAGCACATCAGATTCCCTGGAACTGGAGTTGAATTCAGGTGGTTGTTAGCCATGTGTGGGTGCTGGGAGCTGAACCCGGGTCCTCTGCAAGATCAGCAGTGCTCTTAACTGATAAGCCATCCCTCCGGTCCCTTTTTATTTATTTTTTGAGACAGGGTCTCTAACTCCAGCTGGCCTGGAACTATCTGTGTAGGTCAGACTGAGCTGAGATCCTCCTGCCTCTTCTCTGCCTCCACAGTGCTGGGATTAAAGGCGTGCACTACCACACCCTGCAGCACTATTCGGAGATCTAAGAGATTTCATATTTGCCTTTTGCTCAACTTAAATACTGGTTGAAGAGCTTATTTTATTGTTGAAATTTATCAATTTGGATATGAGGTTCATTTTGAAAACTAATGTGTAATAAATATTTTTGGAATTTTGAGATGAAGAAAGCATGTTTAATCATAATTCACTTCCTTATCAGGAGTCTCATTGCCAAACTGATAGAAATATTAGTGAGGATAGGACACTTAACTGTACCTTCACCTAGGCTCTTTGCCCCACGTCTGTGTAGGATGATAGCTATGCACGTCTTTTAGAAAGCTAAACTGGCAAATTCTAGCTAAAGGTAAATGTTAGCAACACTTTGGGTTTATTCACATACGATTAAATGCTTTTGAAGTCTAGTGGGAGAAGAGGAAAGAAGATAGTTTTTCTGTCTTACTTTGAAGAGACTATTAATGGACTAGCTAGATGTGGGAGTGACACCTGTAGCCCCAGCATTTGAGAGGTGGAGGCAGGAGGATCAGGAGCCCACAGCTGACCTCTGCTACATAGCAAGTTTGAGCCCCTGGGCTACGGGGGACCCTGAAAAAAAGAAAAGGAAAACATGAGTGGAATGATGTGTGTTAGGGTTAGCTGGCTACTGGATCTGTAGCCCCGATGGCTGTGTAGACCAGGCTGGCCTCCAATTCACAGAGATCCCCCTGCCTCTGCCTTCCAAGTACCAGGATTAAAGGTGTGTGTGTCACCATACCCAACACTTTGAGCTTTTTTTTTTTTTTTTTTTTTTTAAAATCTTTGAGACAGGGTCTTCCTGTAGTTCCAGCTGGCCTGGAACTCGCTATGTAGACCAGGCTGGCCTCGAAAGATCCGCCCGTCTCTGCCTCCCAAGTGCTGGGATTAAAGGTGTGCGCCACCAGGTCCCACTCCATTTTGAGCATTTTTGATAAAGTTCTATTTGGTTACCTGCTGTCTTAAGGGTCTTCCAGCCTAATGATCATTCATTGGAAATTCTTGTTGCTTACCAGGTGTTGAGCTCCACAATATGCAAACTAGTTGTTTTTTTGTTTTGTGTTTGTAGTGCTGGTTGGCCTTGGACTCTAGATCCTGCCCCAACCTTCCCGGCCTGAGTCTTCAAATTCTGTAGTGTTTGTTACCTGTTGAAGTAATAGCCACCAGCTAACAGTAAAGGGTTAGTTTTAAAACTGACTTGCTGAGGTTACAGTTGAACACCTTCATATGGATTGTAGCCCTTTTCTGTGTTATTGGAAGTTGTTTGAGCCCTGTTCCTACATTGACTGACGTGCAGCAATACTGAAAACCTTGGAAACATTCCAGATATTGAGAGGTCACACAGGTTGCAGGAATATCACCTGAAGTGTATGTAAGTCCTATTCTCAGGGTGAATGTGTGAATATGTGAAAACGGATTGAGGGATTTCCTTTGGTGCAGGAGTCTGCCTTACCCTTGAAAAAGTTGTGGTCATCCGACTGGTCCCAGATTAGCACTGTTGCCTCTGCACCCATTTCCAAAGCATGCTGTGGAATTCTGTGCCCTCTACAGACCCACCTAGTGTGTTACCCCTCGATAGTAGGACACTCCCCCCTCAATTTTACATGCTGGGATTTCTTGAATCCAATTTGTAGCATATGGAGGTGTTAAGTATCCCTGAGCATGTTTGTAAGGACAGCTGGATTCATGCGATTCCAAAGATACTTTTTTGAGTCTGCTTCACTATGGCCCAGAATTGCCTGGAGCTCACTATGTAGCCCAGGGCTGGCCTCAAACTTGAACTCCTCTTGCCTCGGTCTCCTGAGGGCTGGGATTAAAGGTGGAGCCATCATACTCACCCTAAGAGATATGTTTTGATTAAAATCTTACATTACAATTTTTAAAATTGATTTTTATTTCATGTATGAGTATTTTGTGTACATGCAAGTGCACCGCATGCATGCAGTGTCTTTAAAGGCTACAGAGGGCGATGGATCTCCTGGAGCAGATGTGGATAGTTGTGAGCTGCCACATGGCTGCTGGGAACTGATTGCAGGTCCTCTGCAAGAGTAGTCAGTGCTCTTAACTGCTGAGTTCGCTCTTGACCCCCCCCCCCACTCCCCTCCCTTTGAGACAGTCTCACTCTATAGCCCTGGTTGGAACTCCCATGAACGCAAGGAAGGAGATTTTCCTGCCTCTGCTTCCCCAGTGTTGGGACTAAAGGTGTGTGCCACCCTGCCTAGCATAAAATTGTTTTGAAGTGGCCACAGGATGTTTGAAAATGTTTTCCTGTGCGTAGTAACAGTGAGACATTAAGTCAGTCCTTACCGGATATGCCATCAGAAGTCTGAACGGACCTTGTCCCTGAATGTGCCTTGTTGGGAACTCAGCACTGACATCAGTGGACAGAGTAGACTGAACTCTAGATTCTTCTCTAAAGCAAAAGTTGGACATGTGCCTGAGTATGGTATGTGGCAGTGGCATGATGGAAACAGTGGTACACACAGAAAAACAAGACCCCAGAGTTTGTGTGCGTGTGCAGCTCACAGTGAGGAGAGAAGCTGTGTCCCCTAACCTGAGTTCGCTGCTTTAGTTTGCCAGTTTCAGGCATGTGAGCACTTGTTACTGAGTGGCCCACTGGAGGTGGCCCTGAGGACACTTATCTCTGATCATTACCAAGCGTGGAAAATAACGGGAAGAGCTTGCTCTTGAATTTGTAATGGCGGTGACGTTGCTGTTAACTGCCTCACGTGGAAGAATCGCTGTCGCACAAAACAGACAAACGTGTTTGCCCTGGAATTTGCTGGCCTTGGGCTGCTGGATTAGTGTCATTTGTTCTGTTTAGTGCCACTTCGGCAGGGTGCTGTTCATCTGTAGGACGTGCATGTGCTTGGCCTGCAGTTTTCCTGTCTGAAAGTGATCTCCCAAAAGGCTTTCTGTGACCATTTCTGCCAGGCAGGCAGGACTAAACTAGTGTTGGGCCTGGCATGGCGGTACGCACTTGCCATCCTAGCACATGGGAGATTGAAGTAAGAGGGTTGCAAGTTTGAGACCAGCCTGAGCTCCATAGGGAACTCCAGTCTGAAGAAAATCAAGCATCTAGTGTTGGAACATAAGTTCCATGTTTGTTTGTTTCAAGGATCAGAAAATGTAATTTATCATAGGCTCCAGATTGTAGGTGTTGATGAGCTGGTTATTTTCTATTGAAAAATTCATTGGCAGTGACCTCATTTCCATCTGAAGACCTAGGAAACCAGAAGCTGCCTGCTTTGTTTGCCCCAGTTTGACACTTGCCTTGTCCCACTTAACCTGGGGCCCCTGTGGGGCGTTGGGAGCTGAGGGGTTTGGGACTGGGGGAGAAAATGGCAGAGAAGGTCAAGGAGCTCTTCTTGTACTCCTAGGAGTTGTGAGGGGAGTGTGCGTGCGTGCGTGCGTGTGTGTGTGTGTGTGTGTGTGTGTATACTACCAGTACCTGAGTGCTAGTATGCATGCCTCTATTCATGTGTGCTGAGACCAGAGGGGAGGATGTCAGGTGCTGTCTGCCTGTCTTGAAACAGTGTCTCATTGAAGAGGAGGGGGCTTGTGGGCCCAGACAGGCTCTGGATCTGCATCTCCACTTTCCCAGTGCTGGGGTTGCAACACTTGCCATGCCTGAATTTTTATGTGGTGCTGGGGATTCAAACCCAGGTCCTCATGCTTGCACAGGAAGTGTTCTTACCCACTGTTTGTTTA